AAATTCATTTAACAAGAAAAAAGATGGTAGAAACAAATAACAAACAAAAATCTGTACTTCTTCATTTAACAGAAAAATGTTTCATAGAAATAAAACTCAAGAAAAAATTTATTACATAGAGTTAAATAATCACAACACACAGCGGAATGTTATACAGTCAACATCATGTAATCAACAGTATTGTTACTGGCAATGAGGCAGTGAACCTACAGTAATATATCACAACATCCTTTTATTTGCACCAGGGAAGATAACCTGGGAAATTTTAATCATGTCATACAAAAGTATGTGCATTTATATGTGATTGGAAATACTTTAAAATACAAAGCAAAACACTCAAAAACACAAAAACTAATGGAAAATATTATAGATGGTATAAATATATAACTTTACATCAGTGTTTATAGAGTGTAAGTGTCCGATCAATGGTTCTACAGACACTTAATCTCTGGGTTACAAAGAAATGTGTAGCCTATAGTGAATTAAAGAATGGGGGTTAATATAGTATACTGATGTCATAGTAACCTGGTAATACTGATGTCATAGTTACCTGGTAATACTGATGTCATAGTTACCTGGTAATACTGATGTCATAGTTACCTGGTAATACTGATGTCATAGTAATCCAGTAATGATGATGTCATAGTAACCTGGTAATACTGATGTCATAGTCATCCAGTATTGATGATGTCATAGTAACCTGGTAATACTGATGTCATAGTAACCTGGTAATACTGTTGTCATAGTAACCTGGTAATACTGATGTCACAGTAACCTGGTTATATGTTTTTTTCTTCGAAAAAAAAACACCCGCTTTTGTGAGAGGAAAAGTTTTTATAACATTCAGGACTTTGCTTTGAAAGATCAAATATAAATTCATGTACAAAAGAAAAACAATAACATATTTATAAAGGACAACAGAAGAATTCTAGAGAATTTTTTTAATACGATCTCTATATGCTCCGCACCAAAGTAGCAATATCAGAACCAAGTTATGTAAAGTGATATGAAGATCTATGGAAAATTCAAGAGCATTTTGAACACAAAAGATGTACTTAAAACCAAAATGAAAATTTGGGGACTGCCACAACTATAAATACCAGTAACAACAAATGTCTTACATATCATGTTAAATAAGTGAGATTCAATGTCAAATATCTCATCAATAGATAAAACACACAACCTTGTTATATGATATATAAAGATATATGGAGAGTAGACAGATTCATTCTGTGACATCAGAAATACTTTGACTTTCCACCCACATATAATATACAGTCTTATTTGGTATAGGCCAATGGCACTTGGATGACTCTTAAACATTTCTGTAAAACTCTTATGCAACCATTGCTGAATGTGGCACATCAATATTTTTTGCTGCCAACATCACAAAACTGTATACAGAGCGTTGAGGTGAGAGAACCAAAATGGGTTGACAGCCTTTATCAACAAACTAGATTTTACTAAACTCAGAGTTTCTGTTCAGAATCAACTAGAAAATTTCTTAAAATATAGTTAGGAATTATCATGTTTATATGTCATGTTTTACTGATGGTGAATCAAAAAGAATGTTAGTAATGTACTTGTTGTACAAACGACCACAATATTTTAGATTAGATATACTTTAATCAAACTAACTAAACCCTACAGAACACATCAATGTATTCACTTCCTGTCTGGATTTGCCTCTAGACAAATCCTCGCAGATGTCAGTCAGTCTGACAAAAATGTATGGTTTTGTTAGTAATTAAAACCCTGATGGAGAGCTATCGTGATCCTTGGTAATTGAAATAGCCAATAAGCATCCCCATTATTGATTTCTCCATCATCAACCAAAAGCGGATTACATGTGACCTATCCCTACTTTATAGGTAGTTGCAGACAAATCAGGACTTCTTACAGGTCAATGCCAAACTGTATTAAGGATTGTTAACTTGACACCATAAAACTTCATTTACTTTAAGATCTATTTAAAAAATATCTAAAAAGAAAAATGTGATATTTTTGTGTCTTTTTTTCTCACAAACACTTTCAATCAAAAACACTATTTTTTTCATGTTTTAGATTTTTAGGAAATTTTCTGAACATAAAACATCACCAGAATTGTATTGATCCTTAAAACCTTTAGACTGAATCTTAAAGACCAGCATCAAATTGGCCCATTCCCCATTAAATGTTACAGACATTCCTTGGGGAGATAGAAATAAAAAGGAAGAGGAGAAACTCCTAAATCCAGGTTACAAAGTAGTATTTTCTACTTTGTTCTAGAGCTATTGCTGACGTGTTTGCGCCTTCTCCCCCATTAAATCTTACAGCCATACCTTGAAAGGAGACAAAAACAAGAAAAGCAAGGGCCTAACTGAGGCACAATATACACCCGTCGCCAGTCTTCGATGGAGAAGCAGTATTTGACTGAATATCTAAGTTGTCTTGGAATAATCTGAATATCATTTTGGGAAGTTTTAGTCATGTCATACCACCATTTGCTAATATAGTATGTGAACTTATGATTTACATACACTATATACAAACAAAGGAAGTTAACGAAAAATCAACTAAGGGGGGATAACTCAGAAACTAAGCATAGGAGGCAGGCAATTTTTATATGCAACACTCCAGCATCTCTAGACATACATGTGTACCAATTATGGTGACCAGAGAGCAAGAAGTCATGAAGTTAAGACCCGGACAAGGAAAATTTACGAAAAATCAACTAAGGGGGAATAACTCAGAAACTGTCCATGCGAGATTGGCAATTTTCATAGGCGATACTTAGTCACCTTTAGATCTATATGTGTACAAAGTATGGTGACAATAGACCAAGGACTCACAAAGTTATGGCCCAGACAAGGAAAGTTTACGACAGACGGACCGACAACGCCATACCATAATACGTCCTGTCATAGGACGGGCATATAAAAAGAAGGGGGAGCAACTCCTGAATCCAGGTTTCAAAGCAGTATATTCTACTTTGTTCTAGAGCTAGATGCGCATGTGTTTCAGCCATAGACAGATGTCATCATTTGGGAGAAAAAAATAACAGAAACAGCCATCGTCAATCCATGCTTTACATCAAACCCTATCATTAAATCACGGATGTATCTATTTGATAATACAACTCTGATATCACTATTACATAATATGCAACACCTCCTGCTTGTCCTCTTATACACACTGATAATGTGCTGTTATTTTGAAGGCAATGAATTAAAGGTGTCCTGAGTGATATCTGATCTCAAAACAAATATTGCACAAAAACATTGCAACTGAAACAAAAAGTAAATGAGAATCACTTAATATTACAATAAAAGAATATGTACTGATAAATAAATAATAGAAGATTCAATTAGTATATCGTGGAAATGGTTTAGCATGAGACATCACAACTGTAGCTTAAATGCTAATCCTGGTGTCGGCTATTAGAACAACAGGTAATACTCTAATCACCTGAACAGATACGACAGTATCTTCAACTCACCTGATTTTGTCAGGTCCACATTACTCTAATCACCTGAACAGATACGACAGTATCTTCAACTCACCTGATTTTGTCAGGTCCACATTACTCTAATCACCTGAACAGATACGACAGTATCTTCAACTCACCTGATTTTGTCAGGTCCACATCAAACTGGCAATAGTGTAGACCTGCTCTAATTGTGAAAAATACTAAAATCATCTTAGGATTCCAGATTTTTATGTAGTATTTGAAAAAATTCAAAATCAGTTATCAAATGTAATCTGGTCAAAATAATGTTCAAACCTAACCTGGAATCTCATCAAAAGACAAATGATACCTATACAAACGAGTTGATAAAAGATCTTATTTGAGTGGAGGTTGGTGATACTGTTGGTGCCACATAATATAGTGACATCCATGGTAAGTGCTTTGATTCAAACAAAAGCTCCTGTCATTTTAAACAAGAAATGCTATTACCTTGTAGTGTTTGTATACATACATATGCATTGCTCATACATGCAACTTTCAATGTATTTAGAATGTTTCAACAGAACCCTGTCTAATCTGAACCCTTTGCACTCTAACCTGTCTATAACAGACAAGGTATAGTTATAATCTTTGAACCCTTTGCACTGTGTAGCACTATAACCTGTCTATAACAGACAAGGTATAGTGAAATAAAACCTCCCTGAAACAACCCCTGTGTAGCACAGACTTTGTAGTACTGCAACTTGTCTGAAACAACCCCTGTGTAGCACTATAACCTGTCTATAACAGACAAGGTATATAGAAACCTCCCTAATACTGCAACCTGAAACAACCCCTGTGTAGCACTATAATCTATAACAGACCCTTTGAAACCTCCTTAATCCAGAGTACTGCAACCTGTCTAAAACAACCCCTGTGTAGCACTATAACCTGTCTATAACAGACAAGGTATAGTTATGAAACCTCCCTAATCCAGACCCTTTGTAGTACTGCAACTTGTCTGAAACAACCCCTGTGTAGCACTATAACCTGTCTATAACAGACAAGGTATAGTTATGAAACCTCCCTAATCCAGACCCTTTGTAGTACTGCAACCTGTCTGAAACAACCCCTGTGTAGCACTATAACCTGTCTATAACAGACAAGGTATAGTTATGAAACCTCCTTAATCCAGACCCTTCGTAGTACTGCAACCTGTCTAAAACAACCCCTGTGTAGCACTATAACCTGTCTATAACAGACAAGGTATAGTTATGAAACCTCCCTAATCCAGACCCTTTGTAGTACTGCAACTTGTCTGAAACAACCCCTGTGTAGCACTATAACCTGTCTATAACAGACAAGGTATAGTTATGAAACCTGTCTAAAATAGACATTTTACAGAAGTAAAACCAGAATCAATCAGAAATTTTCAGTGTTAATCTTAGTAAATAGAACATTATGCCATGAAAACTTGACAATTTCAGACGAAAAAATAGGAATAATCAGGTAAATAAATTTTCTTATTTATGTCCTGAAAACAATTTCTGGTAGTTCTCTGAAAGTCCATGTATCATTTGGTCCAGAGAGCTCTCTGTTTGGACTGTTTCCCGAGTTGTTGGATTGTGCCAGCTTTATACATGCCAAGCTTTATGCCAGTTTTTGCTCTGTTTTCATTAAAATGTTTGACAGGGAAGGGACTAAAAGGCTGCTGTTTTGTGGATTTAGACATCATTGCTGACTTGCTCTTGGAATAATTTCCCAAATGTTCTGAAATCACCTGAGTTGACAGAACAGACTCCTGTGAACTCTGAGACAAGCTTCTTTCTGATCCAGACTTTTCACTGTAACTGTAACTAAAGCACCTATCTGAAGCAGAATCTGTTGGACTAAACAAGGAGCTAGAGTCGGAGTCTGAAGTTTGTCTTCTGGACTCCCGATCTCGTGAAATGATCACAGAAGATGAGTTGCTATCATAACTAGATGAATTTGCTCTTTCAATATCTAATTTTGACAGTCTTGTTCCACCATTTTGACTTGCATATTTATCTGATGTGAACCATTTTTCTGTTAAGTCTTTTACAACATCTTTTTCATGGTTAACTTGCTCTGAACTCACAGGAATATCACAGTTGGAAGCTAAAGTTGGGTCTGTTGGAGGTGTTTCCTGATTGCCATATTTCACACTCTCTATTTGGCCACCATGGGAGCTTAACTCATTCACATTCTCATCTCCAACTGAAGGATTGTCAGCAGCAGTAGCAGACATATTACTTGTCTTATCCTGAACTGTTTTATGTTCCTCCATATCAGCCTTGTCAACCATTTTTTTGTCAACAACATCTTCATGATCTTCCTTCTCAAAGAATAGATCTTCTTGTTTGAGATGTTCCAAGCTTAAGCTCTCAACATTTTTCCATATCAGAGGGAACATTTTTGGGCTTCCTTCCTCAGGACTAGATATACTAGAAATGTCCGAGATATTCGACATTGTGGAGACAGAAATACAGGAATGTGGAGACATATTGCCTTGATAATATTCTTGCTTTTCAGACCATTCATTTTCATTGCTGTGTGATGTTGTCTCACCAAAAACTTCTTCACTTTCTTCAGGTGAAATACAGACATCCAATTGTGAATCATCTTGTGTTGAAAGCTTACTATCACTATTAAGACTCATCTTCCTACTCAATTCTTGGTCTGATAAGTGTTTGCTTTCATACCTTTTGAACTCTTTTATTCTTGTGATATCTCCCTCTGAGCCTGACTTGTCCGTAAGTCTCCCTGATGGTGCTAACAACACATTGCTGCTGTTGGAATCTGTTTGTTGAACACAGGAAGCTTTCTCTATTTCTGTCCTCTCCCTCTCTTTTGATTTTTCAGATGGCCGACTTGACCTTCTACTGGGTGACTTTTGTTTTTTAACTTCCTGTAGAAAATGATGCACTATAGTTGCTTTGGGATATGCATTGGCTATCCTTGGACTTTCTGCGACCATTTTGTTTTTACCTCCGACAACACCTTTTCCTTTTCCCACAAATAAATGGTTAATGGCTTTTGGGGATTCTATTTTCGGGGTGATGAATTTGGTTTTTGCTTGTTGTTTGGCAGAAGCAGCTGCAAATAGAAATAAAAATCCTAAAATCACAAACTGTTTACAAATATGTATGTTTCTAGAAAGACATTCTCAATGAAAACAACTGATTAATAAGTACAATGTCCTTCAAACAACAGATCAAGATCATTAGACAAAGGGTAAGTTTCAGAAATGATTCTAGGCCAATAATTTCTTATATAAAAACATACCTGGTGCATCAAAGATGGATTTACACATACATACAATAATAAGAAGAATATGTATGAAATATCTCATCAGCCTGCGTAGGTTGGTGGAATAATCCATCCTATCACACTGTAGAGGACTGTGGTGTCACCATTCAGTGTAAAATACCTACTGGCTTCATAATAGCTTTACAAACAATAACTCCTAATTAGTAGTAAAAGTTAGCAGCTTGCTGGTACGCTAGATAACAAAAAGTGGCTTTGATACAGCCTACATAGAATCTGCTATGACTCATACAGATAGTGTTTGTATTAAGTGTACCATTATGCTGGCTCTGTGTCAGCCCAGTTGTACAGCTCGTACAAAGTACAAACTTTATGTGGGAATTATTGTTATACATGTACTGTTATGTGAGATAAATTTGAAGGGTTTTGTCACATATTTATCAGAATTAACTCCTACCTATTTTCAGTTGGTAGAATTTACTATCATAATGAAAACTTCATTTAATTTCTTGTTATTCATTTGAATGCCAAGATAATAAAAATGAAATTAATTAGTTAACAAATGACATACTAAACATCTAAACTCCCACGGAAATTCTTGGATGTTTAACTCACCAGCTGATAAGACTAAATCTGCCTCTTCAAGTGTCTCTTCCTACCTCCTTTACACACAGGCACTTTCCATCAATCAGAACTAATTAACCTCCTTAATGCCTTACCACTATACCCACTCACTTACCCACCAAAGTGACACTTACCAGGTATCTATCAGAAGTCACCTCCCCTTCCTTGAGGGACCATCCTAAAGGTGTTAATACTAACAAGAAGCTCACAGGCATTGCTTAATGGTTATCTGACTATAAAGATCTGTATATGAAAGTAGTCAAATATGCTTTAAATAAACTGATCCACACCTCTACAACTTACATAGAAGACATAGTTGGTTCATAACATTTTCTGCAAACTTGAAAGCATATTCTTTATACATGCACTACACAAATGCCATTACTCACATACTGTTTGTTGAAAAAGCATGCTACAGATTGAATATCAAGACCCTTGGCCTTTTGGTTATCAACAATTAGTTGCTTAATTGTTTCCACTCATTTGACCCCTGTAACCTTGAAAGTTGGTCAAGGTAATTAACAATAACAGATACAGTAATCCTTCATCCATTAATGCTTCAGACCCAATATCAGCACCCTGGGACCTTTTCGTTATTTTGAAGTTGCGTCAAGATTTCAATTTATTTGACACCTGTGATCTTGAAAAATAGTCAAGGTCAATAATGTTAACAAACTTGGCAGCCATTCATCCCAGCATGATACAGGCCAATATCAGCATTCTGGGCCTTTTGGTTACTGAGAATAATTCATTTGAATGGAATGTTAAGGCACGGCAGATGGCTGACAATGACAGATGAAACACAATGGCTATAAGTCGCCCTCACCCTGAGGGTCAGATGACCTAGAAATAGACCTCCAATAAAGGTTTTCATCTTTCTGTTACTTGATGTTTTCTCCTTCTATCAGGTAATTAGGTCAAATACTTCTCCCCTCCCTTACTCCACCCCTTCTTATAGGCGTGACTCTTCCCCTCCCTTACTCCACCCCTTCTTATAGGTGTGACTCTTCCCCTCCCTCTCCACCCCTTCTTATAGGTGTGACTCTTCCCCTCCCTTACTCCATCCCTTCCTATAGGTGTGACTCTTCCCCTCCCTCTCCACCCCTTCCTATAGGTGTGACTCTTCCCCTCCCTTACTCCACCCCTTCTTATAGGTGTGACTCTTCCCCTCCCTTACTCCACCCCTTCTTATAGGTGTGACTCTTCCCCTCCCACTCCACCCCTTCTTATAGGTGTGACTCTTCCCCTCCCTTACTCCACCCCTTCTTATACGTGTGACTCTTCCCCACCCTTACTCCACCCCTTCTTATAGGTGTGACTCTTCCCCTCCCTTACTCCACCCCTTCTTATACGTGTGACTCTTCCCCTCCCTCTCCACCCCTTCTTATAGGTGTGACTCTTCCCCTCCCTCTCCACCCCTTCCTATAGGTGTGACTCTTCCCCTCCCTTACTCCACCCCTTCTTATAGGTGTGACTCTTCCCCTCCCTTACTCCACCCCTTCTTATAGGTGTGACTCTTCCCCTCCCTTACTCCACCCCTTCTTATAGGTGTGACTCTTCCCCTCCCTTACTCCACCCCTTCTTATAGGTGTGACTCTTCCCCTCCCTTACTCCACCCCTTCTTATAGGTGTGACTCTTCCCCTCCCTTACTCCACCCCTTCTTATACGTGTGACTCTTCCCCTCCCTTACTCCACCCCTTCTTATAGGTGTGACTCTTCCCCTCCCTTACTCCACCCCTTCTTATACGTGTGACTCTTCCCCTCCCTCTCCACCCCTTCTTATAGGTGTGACTCTTCCCCTCCCTTACTCCACCCCTTCTTATACGTGTGACTCTTCCACTCCCTTACTCCACCCCTTCTTATAGGTGTGACTCTTCCCCTCCCTCTCCACCCCTTCTTATAGGTGTGACTCTTCCCCTCCCTTACTCCACCCCTTCTTATAGGTGTGACTCTTTCCCCTCCCTCTCCACCCCTTCTTATAGGTGTGACTCTTCCCCTCCCTTACTCCACCCCTTCTTATAGGTGTGACTCTTCCCCTCCCTTACTCCACCCCTTCTTATAGGTGTGACTCTTCCCCTCCCTTACTCCACCCCTTCTTATAGGTGTGACTCTTCCCCTCCCTCTCCACCCCTTCTTATAGGTGTGACTCTTCCCCTCCCTTACTCCACCCCTTCTTATAGGTGTGACTCTTCCCCTCCCTCTCCACCCCTTCTTATAGGTGTGACTCTTCCCCTCCCTTACTCCACCCCTTCTTATAGGTGTGACTCTTCCCCTCCCTTACTCCACCCCTTCTTATAGGTGTGACTCTTCCCCTCCCTTACTCCACCCCTTCTTATAGGTGTGACTCTTCCCCTCCCTCTCCACCCCTTCCTATAGGTGTGACTCTTCCCCTCCCTCTCCACCCCTTCTTATAGGTGTGACTCTTCCCCTCCCTCTCCACCCCTTCTTATAGGTGTGACTCTTCCCCTCCCTCTCCACCCCTTCCTATAGGTGTGACTCTTCCCCTCCCTTACTCCACCCCTTCTTATAGGTGTGACTCTTCCCCTCCCTCTCCATCCCTTCCTATAGGTGTGACTCTTCCCCTCCCTCTCCACCCCTTCCTATAGGTGTGACTCTTCCCCTCCCTCTCCACCCCTTCCTATAGGTGTGACTCTTCCCCTCCCTTACTCCACCCCTTCTTATAGGTGTGACTCTTCCCCTTCCTATAGGTGTGACTCTTCCCCTCCCTCTCCACCCCTTCCTATAGGTGTGACTCTTCCCCTCCCTCTCCATCCCTTCCTATAGGTGTGACTCTTCCCCTCCCTCTCCATCCCTTCCTATAGGTGTGACTCTTCCCCTCCCTTACTCCACTCCTTCTTATAGGTGTGACTCTTCCCCTCCCTCTCCACCCCTTCCTATAGGTGTGACTCTTCCCCTCCCTCTCCACCCTCTCCAATAACTGTGACGCTTTCTTTATTCTTTCCCTTCCACTAATTGTGATTTCTCCCTCATTCCACCGTCTCCCATTTGTCTCCTCCCCTTCCCTCCCCCTATCTTCACCCTTGGTGTGACTTCTCCCCGACACTCCTTCCACTTCCTTGTGACTCCATCTCATCCCTAGCTCTTTCCCCTCCCTTGCTTGTGGTTTCCCCTACTTTCCCTCCCTTGGTTGTAACTTCTCCCTTCATTCCTTTCTCTCCAGTGAGGGAATCTTCCCTGCCTCACCTGCAAGTATGATGTGAGCCTGTGTCTGCCTCTGTCTCAGTCGTTGGTACTGTTTTTTGAGTGAGCTGATGTCGGTGGACATGCGTTCCAAATACAGGTTACTGTTACTCAGAGCACTTGAGTCGAGCCCGGCTCCATATGCTCCAGGCCCTACTGATGAAATATCTGCACTTGACCCGGACATGTCTCCCTCTAACCCTGATAACAAATATAAGTACATACATGTAAGGACCTTATATGATGGATTTTTGATAATATAGTCTCAGTTCTATCTTTCAAAAAACAGCCAGCTTGATTTTCTTGGGGCTTTTTGAAACCTTAATATACATAAGTGTATTATCATATGAAATTTCAGAATATGTGGACCTCTGGATTCTGGAAAAAGAAAGTCCTGATGGACAGATACTGCTTAATGGACAGTGCGATTACAATGGGGCACCAGCACTTTCGTTTGGGCCCAAACAATTTAAAGTTGGTTGCTACTGTATAGAACACATGTGAAGCTTGCTGCATGCTGTACAAAACAAATGGAGAAAGATTCCCACTTCTTCATGTACACAAGTTACCAAAGTAGGAATCATTGAACCACAAATCTCAGATTTTCACCTAAGATTGCAAAGTCTTATTCTCAACTGACTGAGTTATCACTCTGTGTTATAACATTCCACATGGAAAATCCAGTACATTATGATCATAAGATCCAAGCACTGATAATGAATGAGAAACCTTTTCTGTGTACCTGATATTTGATTGTAACTCATTCAAGTAACATAAACAATGTACTATTTTCCAGAATTAAGAAATTCCATGCTTAAAGTACCTTTTGATTTTCCCTGTCCAATTTGACCTGGCAGTATTCCAGTGAAACATGTAATAGCTTCAAGGTCATCTTCATCAAGGTCATCTTCATCACTAGGTAACACCATTCCTCCAACAACGTTACCCTTCTTTGCACCTCCTGTACTGCTAAAAGGACGTATGTTGTATGTGTATTTCTCTCGTAGTTCCGGCAACTGCTGCATCGGGAAAGGAGCACAAGAGTAGATGAACTGTAAAAAGAAAAGAAAATTTTACTACATCAAATATAGAAAGGGAGGATTACAAATTGTGAGAAAGGATAAAGTATAAGTGGTTTAGAAGAAATGCAGTGATGATGGATGGTGGGGAATGGAATGTTGATGAATTGTGAGGAATGGAATGTTGATGAATTGTGAGGGACACAATGTAGATGAATTGTGAGGGACACAATGTAGATGAATTGTGAGGGATGGAATATAGATGAATTGTGAGGGACACAATGTAGATGAATTGTGAGGGATGGAATATAGATGAATTGTGAGGGACACAATGTAGATGAATTGTGAGGGATGGAATATAGATGAATTGTGAGGACACAATGTAGATGAATTGTGAGGGATGGAATGTTGATGAATTGTGAGGGATGGAATATAGATGAATTGTGAGGGACACAATGTTGATGAATTGTGAGGGATGGAATATAGATGAATTGTGAGGGATGGAATGTTGATGAATTGTGAGGAATAGAATGTAGATGAATTGTGAGGGATGGAATGTAGATGAATTGTGAGGGACACAATGTAGATGAATTGTGAGGGATGGAATATAGATGAATTGTGAGAGACACAACGTAGATGAATTGTGAGGGATGGAATATAGATGAATTGTGAGGGACACAATGTAGATGAATTGTGAGGGATGGAATATAGATGAATTGTGAGGAATGGAATGTTGATGAATTGTGAGGGATGGAATGTTGATGAATTGTGAGGAATAGAATGTAGATGAATTTTGAGGGAGTTGATGAATTGTGAGGGATGGAATGTTGATGAATTGTGAGGAATAGAATGTAGATGAATTGTGAGGGATGGAATGTTGATGAATTGTGAGGGATGGAATGTTAATGAATTGTGAGGGATGAGATATTGATGGATTGTGAGCGACCCAATGTGAGTGACCCAGTTTTGATGAATTGTGAGTGACCCAATGTTGATGGATTGTGAGTGATCCAATGTTGATGGATTGTGAGTGACCCAATGTTGATGGATTGTGAGTGATCCAATGTGAGTGACCCAGTTTTGATGAATTGTGAGTGACCCAATGTTGATGGATTGTGAGTGATCCAATGTGAGTGACCCAATGTTGATGGATTGTGAGTGACCCAATGTGAGTGACCCAGTTTTGATGAATTGTGAGTGACCCAATGTTGATGGATTGTGAGTGATCCAATGTTGATGGATTGTGAGTGACCCAATGTTGATGGATTGTGAGTGATCCAATGTGAGTGACCCAGTTTTGATGAATTGTGAGTGACCCAATGTTGATGGATTGTGAGTGATCCAATGTGAGTGACCCAATGTTGATGGATTGTGAGTGACCCAATGTGAGTGACCCAGTTTTGATGAATTGTGAGTGACCCAATGTTGATGGATTGTGAGTGACCCAATGTTGATGGATTGTGAGTGACCCAATGTTGATGGATTGTGAGTGACCCAATGTTGATGGATTGTGAGTGATCCAATGTGAGTGACCCAATGTTGATGGATTGTGAGTGACCCAGTTTTGATGAATTGTGAGTGACCCAATGTTGATGAATTGTGAGTGACCCAATGTTGATGAATTGTGAGTGACCCAATGTTGATGAATTGTGAGTGACCCAATGTTGATGAATTGTGAGTGACCCAATGTTGATGAATTGTGAGGAACAAAACATTGAGGGATTATGAGGCATCTAATGTTGATGGATGGGCATAAGTTGATAATGACTGATTTTCATGAATAGAATGCCAACTGATTGTGAAGAATGCAATGTTTATGGATTTTAAAAAATGGAATATTGATGGATGGTGAAAAGTGAATAATCACAGTGATGGATTGTGAGGAAGAGAATATTGAAGGATTCTGAGAGTGGAATATAGATGGATGATGGGTAATAGAATATTGATAATTGAGAGAAATAGACTACTGATTGGTTACAAGGAACACAATGTTGATGGATGTATTCTAAGAAAAGGTATGTTGATTATTGTCCAAGATAGCCAACTTTCATTTTTTTTCTGATCAGTCCAAAATTAGATGGGCACAACAAGAGACCAAGTGGAACCAACATATGAGATCTGAATGATATCCATAAAGTACTTTTCAAGAAGTAGCGATAGGAAACTTTATTGAAAAAATCGAAGATTGCCACCTGTCAGCCATTTTGTTGTTCTGGTCAGTCCCAAAATCAAATGGGCACAACTAGGGAACATGAGGAACCTTCATATGAAATTTGAGAATAGCCAACTATCTTATGATGGTGGGATTAAAAATTAATGCAGTCAACTCCTCATTAAATGTGTCTAGTTCTATAGATCTGCTTGGATAGACTATAGTAGTAGTACGGGCTGTTTAAAGATCAATATCATTAACTGGAACATCATTCCCTCAGGCCAAACAATCATTTTAATTTATAACAGCTTGATGTCAGTTTCGAAGTTTTTGCTCTTTGAAATGTCTGCCTTGATCAATAATTACTGTCAGATCCTTCGAGAATTTGGAAATTGAAGATTTGTTTGAGAAGATGAAACTTGACGTATAAAATCTATCAATTTCAGATTCAGGTAATGTTTCCCATGTGGAGTAGCATATAATAACTGTTATATAATGACACGATACCAACAACACACCTCAAGCTGTAATCAAATGTCATCATACAGTTTAAATTTCTATACTGTTATATCAACTATCAAATATAAGTATGAAGTTCCAAAAAGACCATTAAATCTATAAAACTCATTAAACAGCTTAACAATTCAGTAGATCAAGATTTCATATTTCTATTTAAAGATAGAGAACATTTATCTCCATTCTGAATTATAAGACACTGATTTAAAAGAAATAAAAAACATTTAACTTTATCCTTCATCTTCGATGATTACAAAGTCATTTTGTTTCTCTAGTCAGTTCATTATCATAGGACAAAAGCATAGATTTTCATTATCAAAGGACAAAAGCATAGATTTTCATTATCAAAGGACAAAAGCATAGATTTTCATTATCAAAGGACAAAAGCATAGATTTTCATTATCAAAGGACAAAAGCATAGATTTTCATTATCAAAGGACAAAAGCATAGATTTTCATTATCATTGGACAAAAGTATAGATTTTCATTATCAAAGGACAAAAGCATAGATTTTCATTATCAAAGGACAAAAGCATAGATTTTCATTATCATTGGATAATAACATGGATTGTCTTCATTAAACATAGATTGCCCCTCATTTTTGAAAAGTACATGTTATATCCCTAATAGCTTGTGAGAACTGTACAGCAGTATCTCTGTCATAAAGCTTGGTGAGATGACTTCAGGGTGTATACATTAGTTTTAATGTAAGGTCTGATGTAATCAATATGTTGCCATATAAGTTACATCATGCAATAGCTTGTGATGTCAAACAATGTTTTACTCAGTCAGGTGGTGGGCTTATTACGGGACAAAAAAAAACTTTGTTTAAATCCTTAAATTCTTATTAAGATTTACAGCTGTATAATTATGGTGATATTGGTGATATTTAACACTCTGAATAAAATGCATGAAAGACTTTTCTTGATACATATAAAATGTCTTAAGAACAACAGTGGATCACCAAGCTGACCTTGATAAGGGCATCTGCATCAAAGATCTTGCCGTCCATCATGTCCTGAGTAAGTAGTCCCATCAGTGAATAGAACTCATCTGCACTTCCCACGGACAGAATACGCCTGAAAAAAGACACACAATTATAGATACAGCCAACATCAGTGAATAGAACTCATCTGCACTTCCCACAGACAGAATACGCCTGAAAAAAGACACACAATTATAGATACGGCCAACATCAGTGAATAGAACTCATCTGCACTTCCCACAGACAGAATACATCTGAAAAAAGACACACAATTATAGATACGGCCAACATCAGTGAATAGAACTAATCTGCACTTCCCACGGACAGAATACACCTGAAAAAAGACACACAATTGTAGATACGGCCAACATCTGTGAATAGAACTCATCTGCACTTCCAACGGACAGAATACGCCTGAAAAAAGACACACAATTATAGATATGGCCAACATCTGTGAATAGAACTCATCTGCACTTCCTACGGACAGAATACGCCTGAAAAAAGACACACAATTATAGATACGGCCAACATCTGTGAATAGAAATCATCTGCACTTCCCACGGACAGAATACGCCTGAAAAAAGACACACAATTATAGATACAGCCAACATCAGTGAATAGAACTCATCTGCACTTCCCACAGACAGAATACACCTGAAAAAAGACACACAATTATAGATACGGCCAACATCAGTGAATAGAACTCATCTGCACTTCCCACGGACAGAATACACCTGAAAAAAAGACACACAATTGTAGATATGGCCAACATCTGTGAATAGAACTCATCTGCACTTCCAACGGACAGAATACGCCTGAAAAAAGACACACAATTATAGATACGGCCAACATCTGTGAATAGAACTCATCTGCACTTCCTACGGACAGAATACGCCTGAAAAAAGACACACAATTATAGATACGGCCAACATCTGTGAATAGAACTCATCTGCACTTCCTACGGACAGAATACGCCTGAAAGAAGACACACAATTATGGATATGGCCAACATCTGTGAATAGAACTCATCTGCACTTCCTACGGACAGAATACGCCTGAAAAAAGACACACAATTATAGATATGGCCAACATCTGTGAATAGAACTCATCTGCATCTGACACACTTCCTACGAACTCATCTGCACTTCCTACAGAATACGCCTGAAAAAAGACACACAATTATAGATACGGCCAACATCTGTGAATCCCACAGACAGAACACGCCTGAAAAAAGACACACAATTATAGATACGGCCAACATCTGTGAATAGAACTCATCTGCACTTCCCACAGACAGAACACGCCTGAAAAAAGACACACAATTATAGATACAGTCAACATCTGTGAATAGAACTCATCTGCACTTCCCACAGACAGAATACGCCTGAAAAAAGACACACAATTATAGATAATGCCAACATCAGTGAATGTTATTTTCTGACAACACAAGGCAAATCTTTTCACTGTTGTTCAATGAGGTATTTCCATAAAAATTCCATTAGTCCTTTGGTTTTATCACCTTCTCTCTAATTCAGTTCTGTCTCTGGTTTTATCTTTCCATTAACACAGATCAACATCAACACACATCCAATGTTCTGGCTACTTTATATATAAAAAAACAATATTCTTTCTAATACAACCATTATTGCTATTTTTTGTAAGTTCTCAAGGAAATTAAAGGTCATTCATGAAATTTATAAATTTATCAAATGTTCAAACAAAAATTTGGAAAAAAAGAAATCATCCCATAAATTTGTTTCCAAAACCTTCTTCCCAGAAAATAAAATTGCGGTGTTTTTTGTAAAACATAATCAATGGATATTATACCTGGCACATTAACAAGATTGATGATTGTTGTATGGTTAACTATCACAAGACTGTCATGTGGTTATTTATCACAAAAATTTCTCTTAGCAAATCTGGATTGAGATTCCCTTTACACATTTACATTCAACTGTACTTTAATTTTTTACATTTTGTTGAAGATACAGAACTGTTGGAGGATTGATGGTGTTATCTTTGTACAAATGGAAATATTGATGTAATACTGTTGACTATCAACAATGAAAAATACACTATACTTAATGCCATTAGAGAATTCTGGAACATTACATGAGAAGTCACAATAATGTCTAATTGAAACACTATTCTGTAGTATCAAAGGATAATTCAGTGAAAATAAGAAAGGTTTTTCCATCAAATTAAGTAGGGAAAAGTTGTGGGTCCCCATGCCAGACAACAATGATTTGTGTAATGTAGTGATGAGTGTCACACAGTTCTATCTGTAATAGAAACAATGCTTGTCAGTGTCCCTGGAGTCTGCCATATAAAGTCTGGTAAAACACAGACAGATTTCATCCCAATGGAAAACATGTGACATGCATAGATTTATAACAAAATACATTTCTGGATAATTCAGCCATTTTTTAGTATATCTAAATAACATGATAATGAGAAAATCAACACATGATGATACACTTCTGTCTCTTAGTTCTGGAACAAGTCAGAGACACAAAAACAAAAAATCCCAAGGGTTCCCAGAATTATGCGATACCTAGAAGAAGACAGGGTAACCATACATATCTTGTCTGGTACATGTTATTTACAGGCCTGACATTGTAACTACACAGACCTATGTTATTTACAGGCTTGACATTGTAACTACACATACCTATGTTAATTACAGGCCTGACATTGTAACTACACATACCTATGTTATTTACAGGCCTGACATTGTAACTACACATACCTATGTTATTTACAGGCCTGACATTGTAACTACACATACCTATGTTATTTACAGGCCTGACATTGTAACTACACATACCTTGTCTGGTACATGTTATTTACAGGCCTGACATTGTAACCACACAGACCTTGTCTGGTACATGTTATTTACAGGCCTGACATTGTAACTACACATACCTTGTCTGGTACATGTTATTTACAGGCCTGACATTGTAACTACACATACCTATGTTATTTACAGGCCTGACATTGTAACTACACATACCTATGTTATTTACAGGCCTGACATTGTAACTACACATATTGTAACTACACATACCTGTTATTTACAGGCCTGACATTGTAACTACACATACCTATGTTATTTACAGGCCTGACATTGTAACTACACATACCTTGTCTGGTACATGTTATTTACAGGCCTGACATTGTAACTACACATACCTATGTTATTTACAGGCCTGACATTGTAACTACACATTCCTTGTCTGGTACATGTTATTTACAGGCCTGACATTGTAACTACACATACCTATGTTATTTACAGGCCTGACATTGTAACTACACATACCTTGTCTGGTACATGTTATTTACCTGACATTGTAACTACACAGACCTATAATATTTACAGGCATGACATTGTAACTACAACTACAGGGAATTTAAGGTAAAGTTATGTCCCCTTACACCAGCATTTTCAGAGAATTTAAAGTAAAGTTATGTCCCTTTACACCAACATTTTCAAGGAATTTAAGGTAAAGTTATGTCCCCTTACACCAACTTTTCACGCAATTTAAGGTAAAGTTATGTCCCCTTACACCAGCATTTTCAGGGAATTTAAGTTAAGGTGATATCCATTTACATCAACATTTACTGGGAATTTAAGGTAAAGTTATGTCCCCCAGAGTATAAATGTATGAATTCTTGGTCCTTAAACTAACCATGTGGTTAAACGATAAGTTTGACTCACATAGTGCTTTATCTTAATACTGACCTTGAAAGTTTGCCCCAAATAGCAAGAGCAGTGCGGAGCAGGATTTCAGATCCCTCTAGCAGGATGGAATCCCAAACCCGCAGAACAACGGCCTTTGGAAGACACGTGGCAAACATGGTGAGAAACCACTGCATGGTGAATACATTGGTTAGGGGAGGCTCATAGTTAGCACCTGTAACAAGTCAACCAGAAAATACAAGTTAAGGGCAGCAAATCAACCAGAAAACATAAGTTAAGGGCGGCTCTTTCTTAGCACCAGTTACAAGTCAATCAGAGAGCACTAGTTAGGGGAAGCTCTTTGTTAGCACCAGTTACAAGTCAATTAGGAAGCACAACAAGTTAGGGGAAGCTCTTTGTTAGCACCAGTTACAAGTCAATCAGGAAGCACAACAAGTTAGGGGAAGCTCTTTGTTAGCACCAGTTACAAGTCAATTAGGAAGCACAACAAGTTAGGGGAAGCTCTTTGTTAGCACCAGTTACAAGTCAATCAGAAAGCACAACAAGTTAGGGGAGGCTCTTTGTTAGCACCAGTTACAAGTCAATCAGGAAGCACAACAAGTTAGGGGAAGCTCTTTGTTAGCACCGATTACAAGTCAATCAGGAAGCACAACAAGTTAGGGGAAGCTCTTTGTTAGCACCAGTTACAAGTCAATTAGGAAGCACAACAAGTTAGGGGAAGCTCTTTGTTAGCACCAGTTACAAGTCAATCAGGAAGCACAACAAGTTAGGGGAAGCTCTTTGTTAGCACCAGTTACAAGTCAATCAGGAAGCACAACAAGTTAGGGGAAGCTCTTTGTTAGCACCAGTTACAAGTCAATCAGGAAGCACAACAAGTTAGGGGAAGCTCTTTGTTAGCACCAGTTACAAGTCAATCAGGGAGCACAACAAGTTAGGGGAAGCTCTTTGTTAGCACCAGTTACAAGTCAATTAGGAAGCACAACAAGTTAGGGGAAGCTCTTTGTTAGCTCCAGTTACAAGTCAATCAGGGAGCACAACAAGTTAGGGGAAGCTCTTTGTTAGCACCAGTTACAAGTCAATCAGGGAGCACAACAAGTTAGGGGAAGCTCTTTGTTAGCACCAGTTACAAGTCAATCAGGGAGCACTAGTTAGGGGAAGCTCTTTGTTAGCACCAGTTACCAGTCAATCAGGAAGCACAACAAGTTAGGGGAAGCTCTTTGTTAGCACCAGTTACAAGTCATTCAGAGAGCACAACAAGTTAGGGGAGGCTCTTTGTTAGCACCAGTTACCAGGCTTGTAATTAGCTTCTGTATCAAGTCAATCAGGAATACTACATGGTGAATACAAAAATGGTACCAGTGTATTTGTCTTTCTCCTAAACCTTTTGATACCAACTTTCAGCTTAATCAAACTAAATCTTCATTTTGACCAATCAGAAGTTCTAATGTGTTCCCATGGTTATAGCTTTGGAACACATTATATGTTAAATTATAGGCTATAATTAGCTACATCATGTGATAAAGTTTAATTAAAATCAATGAAAGTTCTAAGAGTTATGGCACTTTTTATTAAAACCTGTACATAGTGACCTGGTTACCATGGCAACCCAAATTTCTGTGAAAAAAAAGACTGCATGTACACTTGCACATCTGCACATAGTCCCTTATATCCTTGTGCAGTTTCACTGAAATCAGTCCACGACATCAGGAGCAATTGGATCTTATGTGGTTACCATAGTAACTAAATGGCATCAGATGTTTTTTCAAAATGGTACCGCAGTAATTGCCTTCCCTCAAAACCTTTGTATATCAATTTGCAGCAAAATCCTCTCAATTTTGACCAATCAGATTCCTCTATCATGTTTCAGTAATTACAGTTCTAGAAACACCTGATGTGTCAACTTACAGCCATTGATAAATCACAACACTTGACCAAGTTTCAATAAAATTGAGCGAAGTATTAAAATGTTACGGCCATTATATAAAAAACCTATGTATAGTGAGCTGGTTACCATGGTGACCTAAATTTCTGCTAAATAATCCTACATGCATATCTACACATGGTTCTAACCATTCCTGTGAAGTTTCATCAAAATCTGTTCACAGGTTTAGGGGAATTTGTCCAGACAATTTTTTTTCCTGAAAACCTGTGTATAGTGACCTAATTATCATGCCACCTGAATTTCTGCTGAAAAACCCTGTATGCACATCTATGACCAACATAATGTTTCTATGGACAGACAGACAAGCAGAGCACTGCTTCCATAACAAATGTATTTGTTTTTGTAAGATATTAATCTTCACAATCAAATAATACAATGGGCCAATGTTATGGAACTATCCATCCTTCTACATTATCCAACATTAACACTGTCAGACTACAATCATTTCTCTTAATAAAGATGTATCCTTTTTTATTTGTTCCCAATTTTGTTTTGCTTCCTGGAAGACATGTGAAGTTTCCAGTTTTCTATGGCGAGAAAATTGGATGTCTTCGTGTATAAAATTTCAGATCCTTTTTCAATTCATTTCTATTTGCTATTTTCACCATCGATGAATTCAGGCAATCTCAGAATTCAAATTGACTGCTTTTACACATTTTATAGTCACATAAAAATGCAGCAGATCATATGGCCATTTCTAACACCACACCCACACAAGTCAGATCAATATGTGTCAGCAATGCTTTGTATCTCAGGAACAAAGGATCAGATACAGGCAACCCGATGTAACTACAGCCAGAGAAGGTGAAAAATCGGATGCTGACAGAAGAGAAAGTCACTTGTCCAGAAACGTGTTGTTATGTAATAATGTTTTCTAATCATCAAACCATCTACGAGCTGATATGAAGAGCCTAATTTAACATTCATTGTAAACATGTTTCACTGGGGATAATTATTAGCAACTTATTGCAATTACTTTTAATGGATGTCAGTTCTATCTTTGGAGAAATAAAGATGATTTTTTTCCTTATTTTTACACAGTAAAACTGACATGATGGTTTTGTAACCGACTTACCGGTGGTTTTGTCCTGGGCTGCATACTGTAGATAATCTAGGTGTTTGGAAAGCTTGGGAAACATCAGTCCGAGTAAATCCCTAAACACTGCCATGTCTACAGACAGGGCACGCAGGTTGTTAGCAAAGTAACTGTCTGGTAACACATGGTCGATCAAGTAGATCATCACCTAACAAACGGTAATTTCTATTTAGAAAAGTGAATGTCAACTGGGAAGGAAAAAGACAGAAATACCCCCTTTTTGTTTACTGTATATTTAATTAGACAACAGGAACAACAACATACCTGGATGAATAAGAGGTGGATAATGAGGAAAGTTTTCATTTACCAGACCTGAGAGATTTACAAACATAAATTATTTACAAATAAGGATGGTAATTACATAAGGTAGTTTCACAGGTATAAAGTACACTTATAACTCATTCATGTAATGAAGCCAAAAACTGTAACTGTATTACAGGTACAGGTATTACAGGTACACAGGTACAGGTATTACAGGTACACAGGTACAGGTATTACAGGTACACAGGTACAGGTATTACAGGTACACAGGTACAGGTATTACAGGTACACAGGTACAGGTATTACAGGTACACAACTCAAACAGCCTTTTTTTCGTTGCTGTTTACAATTTTAAAAAAATCATTTTCCTACTGAGAAAAAACCATTAAAACCTATTTTTCAGAGCGAAGAAGAATTGATCGAAAATGTGATGATACATAATTTGGTACAATCACTTCTAAACAAATACACCTTTAGACAATAATGAATGAACACTTCATGCAATCTTGTCAACCCATTACTGTGTTCACTAAAACAAGCATCCTCCAGATATCAATAACAGAATGGAACTGACACAACTATAGATTTTCTACAAGCCTTGTGTGAAATCAGTCAAAGGTCAAGGTTACCATGAGGGCATCATCTTCCTTCCTCTCCATGACTTCCAGTAAAAGAGCAGCGATGACATTGAAGCCTTGACAGTAGCCAACAGACTTGTTCCATCTCGCATAGGCCAGCAGTACACGCTTCAATACAGCACGATCCTCATCATTATCCTGACCACTGAATCCACTACAGCCTGTACGATGGAGATCCTGTAAACAAGGGCAGACAACTATGTAAAACATTACACAGCATGCTTTGTAAACAAGGGCAGACAACTATGTAAAACATTACACAGCATGCTTTGTAAACAAGGGCAGGTAACTTAGTAAAACAGCTTACAGCATAATAAGTAAAGGAGGGCATGAAAAGTTTGTAAAACAGCAACCAGTATATTACATAAACAAAGGCTGGCAACTTCATAAAACACTCTAGTGTTGCATTAGCCCAAAACTCTAGTGTTACATTACCCAAAACTCTAGTGTTACATTACCAACAACTCTAGTGTTACATTACCAACAACTCTAGTGTTACATTACCCACAACTTTAGTGTTACATCACCCACAACTCTAGTGTTACATTGCCAACAACTCTAGAGTTACATTACCAACAACTCTAGTGTTACATTACCAACAACTCTAGTGTTACATTACCAACAACTCTAGTGTTACATTACCAACATCTCTAGTGTTGTATTACCCACAACTCTAGTGTTACATTACCAACAACTCAAGTGTTACATTACCCACAACTCTAGTGTTGTATTACCCACAACTCTAGTGTTACATTACCAACAACTCCAGTGTTACATTACCAACAACTCTAGTGTTACATTACCCACACCTCTAGTGTTACATTACCCACAACTCTAGTGTTACATTACTCACAACTCTAGCATTACATTACCCACAACTATAGTGTTGCATTACCCACAACTAAAGTGTTGCATTACCAACAACTCTAGTGTTACATTACCCACAACTCTAGTGTTACATTACCCACAACTCTAGTGTTACATTACCAACAACTCTAGAGTTACATTACCAACAACTCTAGTGTTACATTACCAACAACTCTAGTGTTACATTACCAACAACTCTAGTGTTACATTACCCACAACTCTAGTGTTGTATTACCCACAACTCTAGTGTTACATTACCAACAACTCAAGTGTTACATTACCCACAACTATAGTGTTGCATTACCCACAACTAAAGTGTTGCATTACCCACAACTCTAGTGTTACATTACCAACAACTCTAGTGTTACATTACCCAAGACTCTAGTGTTACATTACCCACAACTATAGTGTTGCATTACCCACAACTCTAGTGTTACATTACCAACAACTCTAGTGTTACATTACCAACAACTCCAGTGTTACATTACCAACAACTCTAGTGTTACATTACCCACAACTCTAGTGTTGTATTACCCACAACTCTAGTGTTACATTACCAACAACTCAAGTGTTACATTACCAACAACTCTAGTGTTACATTACTCACAACTCTAGCATTACATTACCCACAACTATAGTGTTGCATTACCCACAACTAAAGTGTTGCATTACCCACAACTCTAGTGTTACATTACCAACAACTCTAGTGTTACATTACCCAAGACTCTAGTGTTACATTACCCACAACTATAGTGTTGCATTACCCACAACTCTAGTGTTACATTACCAACAACTCTAGTGTTACATTACCCACAACTCTAGTGTTGTATTACCCACAACTCTAGTGTTACATTACCAACAACTCCAGTGTTACATTACCAACAACTCTAGTGTTACATTACCAACAACTCTAGTGTTACATTACCCACACCTCTAGTGTTACATTACCCACAACTCTAGTGTTACAATATCATCAACTCCAGAGTTACATTACCAACAATTCTAGTGTTATTTTACCAACAACTCTAGTATTACATTACCCAAAACTTTAGTGTTACATTACCAACAACTCTAGTGTTGTATTACCCACAACTCTAGTGTTACATTACCCACAACTCTAGTGTTACATTACCAACAACTCTAGTGTTACATTACCCACAACTCTAGTGTTACATTACCCACAACTCTAGAGTTACATTACCAACAACTCTAGTGTTATTTTACCAACAACTCTAGTGTTACATTACCCACAACTACCCACAACTTTAGTGTTACATTACCAACAACTCTAGTGTTGTATTACCCACAACTCTAGTGTTACATTACCCACAACTCTAGTGTTACATTACCCACAACTTTAGTTTTACATTACCAACAACTTTAGTGTTGTATTACCCACAACTCCAGTGTTACATTACCAACAACTCTAGTGTTACATTACCAACAACTCTAGTGTTAATGGTGTTACATTTCCCATAACTGGTGTTACATTTCCTGTAACTCTAGTATTACATTACCCATATATCTATAAAGACTTACTCACACATCTAGCAAACCTCTTTCACACATGATGACAGTACAATGTGTCAGTCAGATCAGATTCCATCAACTTAAATAACACAATCCTCTTATGAGTTTTCTTCGAAATCAATATAGAAGTGAGACAGAAAACCTGATCAATTATGTATTTCGTTGATGTGGTCTGTCTGCAGACTAAAAGAAAGATAACACACTTCAAGTAATATGTAGACTGGTATTTTGATCTGTACAGATGCCTTTAACGGGGCATCTATACAGTACAATTCCACATAGCCTCACACCCATTCATGTAAAATAGCTGAGCTTGCTTTTAAAACACAGCATACATACATTTACACTGAATTGAGTCAGATTTCTAGAATTAAGATCCAGGTTTTTACTAGACTGTACTTTTGTTCCATGCTCTTGGAGTACAAGGTCATATTGTCTGTTGTCCTAAACTGTAAAGACTATATTAGTTTCATGGTATTCAGGAGTATCAGGTCCTACTGTATGACCTACACTGTACTGACTGTGCTAGTTCCATGGTTTAGAATACCAGGTACTACAGTTGAGGACCTACAGTTGGAGTACCTGCTGTCCTACAGTTGGAGTACCAGGTCCCACAGTTGGAGTACCTGCTGTATTACAGTTGGAGTACCAGGACCCACAGTTGGAGTACCTGCTGTATTACAGTTGGAGTACCAGGACCTACAGTTGGAGTACCTGCTGTATTACAGTTGGAGTACCAGGACCTACAGTTGGAGTACCTGCTGTATTACAGTTGGAGTACCAGGACCTACAGTTGGAGTACCTGCTGGCCTACACTGTACATTCTGTACTAGATCCATGGTTCAGAATACGAGGTTCTACAGTTGAGGTCTTACAGTTGGAGTACCTGCTGACCTGCACTGTTTGCATTATTGAACAGCAGCCATTTGTCTGGATAACTGAACCTCATAATCAATCAATGATCATAGATTATGGAGACAAAAACAAAGTTGTTTAGCCCTCCTAATGATAGGATGCTGACTTATCCTCCAGCAGTAGCATTTCCACATTACAGTAATCAAACAAATTCTAACAATACAGACAGGTAAATTACAGGTAAATTACAGGTAAATTACCAGATTCAAATTACCCTAGGACATGAAATCTCTACTATGAAAGCAGCATGCAGTAATATAACACTATCTCTTAAATGAAGGCATTGTGTATAAAGAAGATCTTACTGTAGTTTTTTCAATAGTTTCATCATAATATATATATTTCAATCACATGCTTAGAACAGTAACAAGAGGCCCATTGGCCTTAACCATCATCTGACTATAGAAACTTGTAGATGATATAATAACAGTAGTAGTAATAGTAGGATCAGCTATCAAATGATAAAAACCGATAGGAATATTTCATTAAAGTTTCATAACAATTCCCACAACATTTCAGCTCAATGGCACCAGTACGATCATGAAGTTTTCAAATAGGTTTATCAGGATTGAAGTCATGGTGGCTATTTTGAATTATGGACTGACCAGAAAAATAACACCAATTAGTCAGGACCAATACAGGATCATTTCAAGCAAGTTACAGCTGACACCCACTGATGGGTCTTGAGAAGGAGTTTGAATTAGTTGCTGTTCAGGGAAATCATGATTGCGCAACATGTTACATAATTGCTGTCATGGCTGCCACATTGAACTTTTGACAAGGTCACAATGTAACAACAATTTGTTGGCTTCTGTTCCTGAACATTTCCAACGAGGTGGATGAAACATGACAAAAATGAAACATAATGGCTATAAGTCATCCTATCTACGTATTCAAATTTTCATTGTTCAAGAATCTTATGTGGAAAGAAAACAATTGAATTAGATACAATACTATATAAATATATATATAAAAGATTCAGAAGCACTAATGCCAAATCTGACGTGTTGTTAGAAATTATGTTAATATATATATATTGACAGCTATATGTGAAAGCAGCAGGCTATCAGAAGGGCCAAACTTCATCAAAATCATCAAAAATCAAAATGGTAATTGCTCTTTAATGGGTGACAGGAAATTTGACTTTAGAAGTTAACATGTTGTCCAATATCCACTGAAGTTTTTCCAATAACATTTTTGGAAATGAAAATCAACATGTACAATTGTATTTCAAAGACAGATTGCCTAACACATTGATAAAGGTACAAGGCTACCACTATCACTTCCACACTTAATTCATGTGCTCTTGATAAAAAATGGTTCCTGTTACAATCCTCAAAACAACTGTTATGCCACGAAAGTCTCTATTCTGATGAAAGGTAAACTACCACTGTCAAATGTCTGGCTAAAATGTTCGTATTCCCAATACTGCCAGAAATACAAAAGTGATTGGAGAGTGTTTCAAAAATAGTTTCTTTCACAGAAGAAATCCATATAAATATTCCCCTTTTTTATGCTGTTAGATTATTATTGATATTTAGAAGCTGTGATACCAAACTTCTAGAGACATTTAATGCAGATAAGCTTTAGAAAAACATGGCTGTGACTTTGCATCAAAGGAATTTTAAAATAATGGGCAGGAAGACTGCCTAAGAGGTTGTACAGTCTATGTATAGATTTATGATGGCTATTCATTGAAAACTCCATTAGGAACCAACAGACACATTTAATGGTGTAGCAATGAGCTTATAATGACTGAAAGCCTGACAAAATTATCAATTGACGAACAAGCTTTTTTATTTTGGTATAATGACTTGGCTAAAAACCCTTTGATTTATTTACGTCTAATAACTGAAAATGATGAT